CCACCCCCGCCAACCCACCCCTTGTGCCCAACCGCCCCCTCCTCCCCTCAGTTCCGCAACGAAGGCATCGACCTGACCCACAACCCTGAGTTCACCACCTGCGAATTCTACCAGGTGGGGCGCCGCCGCCGCCGGCGACCTGCCACTTTCTGTTGTGCCCGAGTGCCCGGCTATGCTCTGTTGCGGACGTCCGCGCTCGCCATGCCTGTGCGTGCGCCAGGCCCAGGCCCGTGCCTGCTGTGCTGAGAGAGGCAGAGCCCATGCCCGCCCCGCCACGTATCTGTTGGGGGTGCCGCCTACCATGCTGTCTTTCCACCTGCGCTGCTTTCCACCTGCATTCTTTCCACGCCGCCCCGCAGGCCTACGCCGACTACAACGACCTCATCGCCATGACCGAGGAGCTGATCTCGGGGCTGGTACTGGCCATTAAGGGCACCTACAAGATCCAGTACCACCCAGACGGCCCCGAGGGCAAGGTGGGCTGGCGTGTGGTTGGCCGGCGCATTGTGCCTGGCCGCAGGCATGGCCGGGGCGGGGCAGGGGGCGTGTGGGGATGGGGCGTTGCCGCGCCGCCAAGCGGGCCTGAGGGCAAGCCGGCGGGGCAGCCTGGGCTGGGGCAGGGCTGGGGCTGGGCTGGGGGCTGGGCTGCATGCTGCAGGGGCGGTGGGAAGCGGGGCACTGGCGTGCGTCTGCTGCGTTTGCCTGCAAAGGAACCGCTCCCGGCGGGCCGCGCTGCACGCCTCAGTCACCCACGCACCCCTCCCACCTCCCGCCTGCACAGCCTCCCACCACCATGCCGCCGCAACCCTGCCCCGTGTGGGTTGTACCCACGCACGCCTCCCACCTCCCACCTCCACAGCCTCCACAGCAGCCCCACCGCCTCCACCCTGCTGCAGGCCATTGACATTGACTTCACGCCGCCCTTCCGCCGCATCTCGATGTGCGCGGGCCTGGAGGAGGCGCTGGATGTGAAGCTGCCGGCAGACATGGACAGCGAGGAGGCGCGGCTGGTGCTGGTGGAGCTGGTGAGGGAGGCGGCGGCGGGGGCTGGGGAGGCGGCGGGTGGCGCTGCGCGGGGTGGTGGGGCGCGCCGCTGCGGGGCGGCTACTGGCCGGCGAGTGCTGGCTGCGGCCGCGGGCTGGCCTGCGTGTGCCTAGCGCCCCACGGAACAGCCTGGCCGGCCCAGGCGCATTGCCCCCTTCTGACGACCCCCGTCTTCCCCGCCTGCCGCTGCTGCGCCCGCCCCCGCTGCCCCCCTCTCCGCCACTGCAGTGCAAGAAGCACGGCGTGGAGTGCAGCCCGCCGCACACCACCGCCCGCCTGCTGGACAAGCTGGT